ACAATTTTATGACTCCACAACCGTGTAATGTGACATAGTGACTTTCAGAACGGGCAGAAAAGTTGTGTAGTGTGTACCAGGCATAATGCAAGTCCTGAGTCTGACCTGTCTGTCAGCGAGTCCTCCTCCATCTTTTTTTTTAGACTCCACTGTAGACAACAGCAGCATTTCTTCTACCACGTAGTGAGCCACAAACTTCATGACTTCTTTCAGACTGATAGGTTTAACATTATCTCCGTTATTAGAACCAAAAGACAGTCGTTGCTGTTTTGGAGCTGAAGGACCAGCGTTCTAAAAGTAACAGAAGTAACTGATGGCTTGTTTGAAAATGTACTCAAGTATTTGATTACTCAAACAACAAACTAACGCGTTTGATTACTTTTTACGGTAACGAGTAACCTAAGGACTCTAACGTGTTGCTGTAACACATTATACCCAACTCTGCAATCCAGTGTTAAAAGAACAGAGGATATTTACCATGCACCAGTGAAAATTAACACATAATATCAGTAACGTTTCTGCTTAAGAGTTGAGCTTACCTTGTATAACAAGTTTGTTTCAATCGCATACGCCCTCGACTTTATCCCCTTGTTCACTTTCCCCACTTCCATTTCTCTTCTCGTGCGCTGAGCTGAACTGCCAATAAGAGTGATTTCATTCACCAACAGGCTCCACCATCTCCAACGCCTATTCAACATGCGGAAAGAGAAAGAGCATGCAGAGGAAAAAGCTTTTAAATCTCCAGTTATGATTTTACCAAATGAAAAATCATCTGTGGTCCTGTGAATCTCAACATATGGAATTTTGTGGATATTCAGGGTCCCCACAGGATGAAGCTTTCTGACATTGTTTATCCCTGACTTTTCCTTTAGCATCACTATGAAGTTAACGTTTGTAGTATTTAATGTAATGTCTCATAAACTATTGAATAAACTGCTGTAAGATATGATCTACATTCATGGTGCCCAGAGATTGATTTGCAGTAACTTTTGTAATGTGACTTGACATGTCTGGGATAAGGTGGACTTCAGAACATGTTTACAAATGCTTCCCTCACTTTTCCCAATGTTTTCTGGCAGGTGATGAATGATCGTGTTGGTCCAGTCTACGTCATCAACCTTCTCATTTCCGACCTCATTCAGTTCTGCGGCATGATCTTTGAGATGGCGCAACCTAAGGACAGGACAGTGATTGATACATTCACGTATATTTACGTATACTGTCTGGTGGCCAGTGTTTGCTTCATGGTGTGCATCGCCCTGGAAAGGTAGCTGTCTGTTAATCCAGTATGTGTGGAGCGATTTCTGTGTCTGACCATTCTGTTGTGATGTAATTCTGAAGCTGTGTCTGTATTTCAGGTATTTGGTCATCGCCTGCCCACTGTGGTACCGCTTCAGACGAACCATCAAGGTCTCTGTGGTGGTGTGTGTCGTGGTCTGGATCATTCCTCTTGTCTATTTCCTGCCTTTCTTTTTCTGGATTAATTTTAGGGTCAAACGAGTCATTTTTGCCATCCTCCTCCTCCTTCCTCTCCCACTGTTCATATTCTTCCTTGGTGGAACCCTCAAAGTCCTGTCTGCTTCCATCTCTGTCCACTCTGACGAAAAACGACGAATTGTAGGAATGTTGGTCCTGGTGTTGCTTATTTACATGCTGCTCTTCCTGCCAAGCATCAGTTGGTCCCTGGTAGCGGGAGCTAAATTCAACAAAACTTTTAGCAACGTGTCTTTAACATTTCTCAAGTTAAGTCCTCTTGCAGACTTATTTCTGTATGTTTTCATGAAGAAAGGGACCGTTGACAAGCTGTTGGCTTCTGTGTGTTGTTGCAAAATGGACAGTGATGATATCAGTAGTTCAAATTCAAGTTCTTTCATTCAAGTTTGAACGATGACAGCCTGCTTCATGTAGGCAGAGAAAGAGGGTGAGAAAGAGAAGGGAGAAATAAAAGGAAAGGATAGAGACGAGATTTTGTCATCAATTGACATGACTTCCAAGCCTTTAGGATATTTTCTCTATACATTTTGATTTGTTTAATACATTTTTCCATTGTCACAACCAGTACTGGGAGTAGTACGTTACAAGGCAATGCATTTCTGTTTTTCCACTTTTGGTGGAAAAAGAAGTTTAAATGGGCTCATTAGTTTTAATTTGTGTCTTAATCATAGCAGACAAAAGTAACCTATCCCCACATTTTTTTCTGTTTATGATTTAACATCATAGTAATGCCAGGCTCAAGGAAGAAGCGCTCAGTCCCTCCTTCTTGTGTTTGTGTGTGTGTGTTTGAAAGAAAGTGTGACGGGGGCGGGGGGGGGGGGGGGGCAAAGTGGAAGGTGGACTATTGCATGCAGTGTTTCTGTAAGTTAAAATTAACTTGGAACATTGCAAAGGTGGTGCTGCTCTGCGGCTAATGCACATGTGTGTTGGACTCTAGGGTTGACCTGCGCACATACACTGTAAATGGTGTGAATCAATCAGTTGGCATTAGACTGTCACTGCACCCAATGGCTGACAGTTTNCTTCCAAGCCTTTAGGATATTTTCTCTATACATTTTGATTTGTTTAATACATTTTTCCATTGTCACAACCAGTACTGGGAGTAGTACGTTACAAGGCAATGCATTTCTGTTTTTCCACTTTTGGTGGAAAAAGAAGTTTAAATGGGCTCATTAGTTTTAATTTGTGTCTTAATCATAGCAGACAAAAGTAACCTATCCCCACATTTTTTTCTGTTTATGATTTAACATCATAGTAATGCCAGGCTCAAGGAAGAAGCGCTCAGTCCCTCCTTCTTGTGTTTGTGTGTGTGTGTTTGAAAGAAAGTGTGACGGGGGCGGGGGGGGGGGGGGGGCAAAGTGGAAGGTGGACTATTGCATGCAGTGTTTCTGTAAGTTAAAATTAACTCAACATTACTTGGAACATTGCAAAGGTGGTGCTGCTCTGCGGCTAATGCACATGTGTGTTGGACTCTAGGGTTGACCTGCGCACATACACTGTAAATGGTGTGAATCAATCAGTTGGCATTAGACTGTCACTGCACCCAATGGCTGACAGTTTGGACAAATTGAGCATGCTGTCCTGGAAATATTTTATTTTACCTTTCTCGACATTAGCGACAAAATTGATGAGTTGTAGACCATGTAATCTCTGTAAACGGATATCTGCACATGTATGCAGTCGGCAACAGTACAAGAGTTTGGTATCAGAGGCATTCTGGTTTCAGTTTGTGGTCCGAGTAGTATTGACCAGTCATGTTTGAGTGGGCATTGGTTGCCTGCAGGTAAACGACCATGTGGAGAGCAAAACAGGTGGAACTCAGTTGCTTGAAATGCAGTCATGGAACCTATCAGCTATCATCTGATGACAGCATAGCTTTTTATGAGCTTTTTTCTAATTTATCTACAGTCATAGATTCATGTGGACCTGTCTCAAGTTGCTCACAGTAGACAAAATGTGGCAGAACTGCATTTCCCAAAACATTGGTCACTGCCCCAGAGGCTAAATTATCATCGAACTTATAGCTCATGGGTTCCCACATTTTAATTTTTGTGCAGGGTTTGCACAAGCAGCAACCTCCAGGGCTGAAAATGAATCCAAATCAGAAGTGCAATAACTGTAGTTCCATAGACCCCCATGTTGAAATGCCTACTTTACAGCAGAAATAAATATGCTTACAGCCTGGTACCAAACGCGGTTTTGGTCATGATAGCTAATTTCAACATTCATGACAAGTGTACAGGGGTGGTTTTTATAGTACGTATTCATTTGTATTTTATGAAGGCTTTAAGTTACACTTAATTATTGTTTGAGTGACAGACTGTATGTGAGGTGTTCCACATTCTGAGTCAGATCCACCCCTCGCTCCTCCACAGCTCCACCCTCTGGTCAGAATACAGTCACTTCTGGCTCCAAGAACCAACACAGCAACTGTCAAAATGCCAAACTCAAGGCCGCAAAACGGGAGTCCACAAACCAGTGGGTGACGCTGCAATAGCTACGTCCATTATTTTATACATTTTTTTTAATTTTTATTCTATGGGTTTAAATTACTGTTAAAGTTACAAAGGATACATTTTGGTGTGTTTGTTTCTGTAAATAACTTTTATTACTTTGTTTCATTATGTCTGTCGTGATGAGAAATTAATGTCAAATGTCTATGAAACAGTTGTTTTTCCTCTCATGGAAAAAAAATTGTATAGTTGTCTTGTCCACCGCTGTCCCACGGCAACACTAAAAACACAGTTTTTTGGGGGCAATATTTTGAATGCTATCCTCATGTACACTACTGCAGTCAGTGGAAATTAGAACATCTTTAAACATGACTTTGTCTCGTACGATGTAATAATAAATTACAGACATCTCTATGTTGTCCAGATCAGTGGTTCCCAACTGGTGGGTCGCAGGTTCATTGTGAATGGACCGGATTTGACTCGCAAACGTGTCAAGTTTGTAAAAAAAACAACGTTGTTTTTGTTTTGTTTTTTGAAGTACAGTGAATTCCACAGAGCTTTTATTTTGAAGTGTCATTTCCTGCTGTAGAATGAGTGACTAATGGACAGCTACTTAACAGAGACAGCAAACTAGATGACATGGCCTAGTACAAATATGACGCTAAATATATTAAACTGACCTTGAACTAATGACACTGCTCTAGATGAAGTGTAAATATTTTCAGAATTTTGTTTTAATAACTGAATTTTTTATACTAGTTGAATTCTGCCTTTACATGCAACCCTGGTGACAGTCTAGGTCGTAGTGTGAAGCCAGTCTTCAGCTTTTCAGTTGGCAATTAGCTCAACAAGTTCTTGACTTAACAGTGGTGTTTAAGGATGTCAAAGGAGTTTGCGACCTGGTTGATGCAGACTAAACATTGTTGTATATCTGCTCAGGCATTGTGCTTTGTAAATAAGAAATACATGATTTCCAAGATACTTTTAATATAAGAAGTTTTGGTTGGGGCAGTTTTGCTGGCAGACCCTCCCGTATTTCTCATTTGTCTTCCTCACCTTTTTTTTTT